ATTACTTATTATCTTATTAGTTGTTTCTTCAAGCTCGGGATGCACGCGCTTTAAACAATTTCTGCAATAGCAATAAAGAGCAGAGAATTATCTACCCTTATGGTAAAAAGACAGCTATAGGTTTGATCAGTCAAATGCTTTACCTTTCTTAGAGCAGCAATCGACCGTCCTTTCGCTTCTTTCTTTTCACAAAAACACTCTCCGCACCAGCTGGAGAATTCCTTCTGATGAGTTTTGAGCTCTCTAAACACAGAGCTGCATGGAACAACAGGAAGGAAATGATTGATAAGAAACTGGAAAACAAATGAAGTTCAATAGCAATCTATAAAAATCCCGTGGCAGTCTAGAGGCAAGTTTCAGTTGTTATTCACCTTCTGCACCATAGAAGCATATTGACTCGATGCCCGGCTGTTGTGGCTCTAGCACCATGGCGATGGCGCCCCCGGTGAAGTACAGCTTGTCCCGGTATATGACAATAATCAAATATTTCCTGCTTGCACAAATAAACAGATCTTTAGATTAGCCATCAGCCAGATCTGGAATGTAAGATGACAAGGAAGCATCTAAAAAAGGGTAGCATACATCTGACTTTGTTGCCGTGTTCACATGTTTTTCACACCTAGTGCCTCGGAAAAATAGCTCCCCTCCCAGGAATTCTTTACCCAAGCAAACATTCAGCGTTACTTCTGAATCATCCACATGAAAGCCTGCAAATTTATAATAACTGCTTATATCCAACAAGAACTGCGTGGCTATTGTCAGGTCATGTGAAATTCTGCAGTATAGGTCATGAACAAAAGCTCTCACCTAGATCAACATCCCTATCTTTACCATATTCAACAACAAAGCCATGGTGAGAGTCCAGAGTTGCTCCACCCACATCATTGAAGAACACTAGAAAACAAAAGATGGTAAGTAGCTTTTTCGTTAAAACATATTAAATGGACTTTTCCAGTAATAGTATGCAATGGAACTCAGTTATATATTGCCTTTGGAAATGGGACGTATAAACCCCTCCATGAGTTTGTCAAGCATGTTATCCAGACCAAAGTCATCAAGTACAGCACCGTGTTTATTCATGGTGTTTGGTCTCATGATTTTGAATTTTGTTTCAGCTACCCAGTTCATAATATTGTCTATCTGCATGGTTAAACAGTGGCACATGAACAAATGTAAAGATAACAAAAAGAATAGAGAACAATTTAAAAAAAAAAAAAGGATGTACATTACCATTACCTCAGATAGCATCATCTGGCAAAAGCTTGGCTGGAGCATATCAAAGACGAAAACACCAGGTGACGGTTCAGATATTATGCTTCTGAAGCTTTCCTCTGTGTTTTCATTTATCGCCTTTATGAAAGCGGGGACGAAAACTAGCGTGGGATTTAGAGAATACAACTCCTTGTGAAGTCGCTGCAGGAGAAACCATTTCAAACTACTAACTCATGAATGGAGCAGCGTGATATGGAACACAGTGAAGTTCAAGAAACAAAGTCACACCTGATAATTTGGTGTTATCTTCTGCCTATAGTCCCTGTGCCTTTGAGCCTGTAGCATAACGCAAAGAAAAACCCAATTTGTAAAATCGAGGAATCCATATTGACAATTCATTAAGAAAAGATCAAACTTTCTATAAACATTCCTAACAAAATCGAGGCCTTATGCAGAGCCAGCAAAAGCTCAGGATTCCAAATCACACAAACCAATTTACATCAATGTAATCTAAATCTAACACAAATCATTACAAAAACCCATGTGGATTCAATGTAAGAACTTCCAATTCAATTCCAATCTCATCGAAACGAGTATAAACATTGATTCAGAATCCAAATTCGAGAAAGGTAACTTACTCTGGAACGCTCTCCATGGGGAAGGTGCCTGAGCATAATATCTGTCATGAATTTCACTTTCTCTTCCCTTCTCGAGACGAGCATATTCGGAGGCAAGTACTTCTCCAGACTAGAGTAAATCGAATTTGGGAATTCCAGCTGCAGATCCTCGTAACTATCTGGCCTATGCTCGTTGTTAGGGTTTAACCTCAATCTCTGACAAGAAACCGTCGTAGATGTAGCTTTCATCGTCGTAGAATTCACCGGATTAGAATTAGCTCCGTTACCGTCCACCGTCGTGGTCTCTTGCTGACTTTCTCGCCGGTCACTTGACATTACTGTGGATTTCAAGAGAGAGAGAAACTAGGTTTGTTCTTCACACTACATTCCAAAAAAAAAAAAAAACCCAGAATCAAATAAGAGAATCAAAATCAGCC